TAGTACAGCTGTGGTACTGCTGTAGTACTCTGATCACCTTCTCTCTGTCAACCAGGTCACCACCTCCACAGGCACCAAGTGCTTCTCGTGTCGCTCGGCGGCAGAACGCGACAAATGGATGGAGAACCTTCGGCGAGCCGTCCACCCCAACAAGGACAACAGTCGGCGGCTGGAGAACGTGCTGACGGTGTGGGTGATTGAGGCCAAAGACCTGCCAGCTAAGAAAAGGTCAGTCTGTGGTGGTGTAGGAGGGTCACGGTGACTCTGAGCTGGACCTAATGCATGTCATACTGCAGGTACTTCTGCGAGCTGTGTCTGGATGACAGCCTGTATGCTCGGACCTCCTGCAAGCTGAAGACGGACAACATTTTCTGGGGCGAGCGCTTCGACTTCAGCAGCCTGCCCTCCGTCTCGTCTATCACGCTCCACTTGTATAAGGACACGGACCGCAAAAGGAAGAAAGACAAGAGCAGCTATGTGGGCCTGGTCAACATCCCCGCTGTCACGGTAACAGGCAGGCAGCTGGTGGAGAAGTGGTACTCTGTGAGCACGCCCAGTACGCTCCGAGGTACGCAGACCAACACTTACCTGAGCCTGGTTTAGGGCAGTCTGTAGTTCTTAGTCTGGTAGCCATCTTATTTCAGCTCTCTGAGGTTGTTCAGCTACCATCTCTGGATTCCAGAAAGCTAGAGGGATTCCTGGTTTGATGAATCCTGAAGGGTTTGATGGAACCAGGTCCTCTCTACCTCAAACTGCTCTATGATCCTCAGGGCTGCTGTTTCCAGATGTTTTACTAAACAGCTCGGTGACGTTAACGCCTTCCTGTGCTCTTAGCCAAGTCGTCGGTTCCGACAGTCCGGGTCAAAGCTCGCTATCAGAGTATCATCATCCTGCCGATGGAGCAGTACAAAGAATTTGCAGAGTACATCAGCGCCAACTACCTGCTGCTCTGCTCCACCCTGGAGGCCTCCATCAGCCTGAGGGCCAAGGAGGAGCTCGCTGCGGCTCTGGTTCACATCCTGCACAGCACGGGAAAGGCCAAGGTAGCTTCACCCACACCCTGTAACCACCCCCCACCACCACCTCCATCTGACCTTCTCTGACCTCTTTAGGACTTCCTGACAGATCTGATGATGTCTGAGGTGGACCGTTGCCATGACAATGATCACCTGATCTTCAGAGAGAACACGCTGGCCACTAAAAGTATTGAGGAATACCTGAAACTGATTGGACAGAAGTACCTGCAGGACGCCCTTGGTACCAGCACCCTAATGCGAGCTGTTGATGCGCGGCGTTCAGGCGAGGTTGTTTGAACCAGTGTTTATTCTTCCAGGTGAATTCATCAAAGCTCTCTACGAGTCTGATGAGAACTGTGAGGTGGACCCGTCTCGCTGTGCAGCCTCCGACCTGGCGGAACATCAGGCCAACCTGAGGATGTGCTGCGAACTGGCCTTCTGCAAGATCCTGGACTCCTACAGGTGAGCACAGGAGCAGGCGGCCTGGCAACGCCCACATGCCTGCTCTGCTCACCTGACTGGCATACTTGCTCCGCCCACTCAGGGTCTTCCCACGGGAGCTTAAGGAGGTGTTTGCGTCGTGGCGTCAGGAGTGCTGTAACCGGGGGCGACCAGATATCAGTGAGCGGCTCATCAGCGCCTCGTTGTTCCTCCGCTTCCTGTGTCCAGCTGTGATGTCACCATCACTGTTTGACCTCACACAAGAGTACCCCGACGAACGCACGGCCAGAACCCTCACCCTGATCGCCAAAGTCATCCAGAACCTCGCCAACTTCACCAAGTAGGTCTGGGCTCTCAGTGGAGAGGATGCTTTTAATTTGAAGGGTACAGGGCTGGGGGGGGTCTGAGATGTGGCGTTGAGCGTACTCACCTGTCTTAGTCTCACCTGTCTCACCCCTGGCTCCAGGTTCGGCACTAAGGAGGAGTACATGCTGTTCATGAATGACTTTGTGGAGCGCCAGTGGAGCAGCATGCAGCGCTTCCTGCAGGAGATCTCCAACCCTGACGGCCTGAACCACACCGCCGGCTTCGATGGCTACATCGACCTGGGCAGGGAGCTGAGCAGCCTACACACTCTGCTGACCGAGCTTGACCAGGTAACTCACCTGGACATGGCTGATCGGCTTGGAACGGACGGCTAGCTCTGATTGGACCACGTTCTACCATCTGTCTCTGCTTCTGTCTGCAGGCCTGTCTGTCCAAACTCGGTCCGCTTCCCCGGATCCTCAGAGACGTGTCGGCCGCCCTCGTCCACCCTGGAGGCATAGTTGGAGTGGGGGGAGCGTCCGTTTCCTCTCCAGAGCCTCAGAGGGTGGTGTCCCCACCCCCCATGTCTCCGCCCCCCCTCTCACCCCCCCTGTCTCCGCCTCTGGCTGCCTGTAATCCCTCGGTTGGCCTGCAGGGTGGGGTGGGATTGGATGGAGGGTCAGTCCCACTGCTTCTATAATTAAAAGGGCAACATGAGACTTCCTCACCCTCTGGGTGTTTAACAGGCCTGCTCTGCAGATTAAACTAAATTAGTTTGAGTCTAAAATTAAACTTAAGTTTAAACTTGAATATTTGAAGTTATGATCTGTCCAATGGGGGACCAATCATTTGGATTATTGAAGCAATGCAGAACAGGTTCAGTTCTAAGGCAGCCTGACCCGGATTATCAGGACCTGGATTATCAGGACCTGGATTATCTAGACCTGGATTATCAGGACCTGGATTATCTAGACTCGGATTATCTAGACCCGGATTATCTAGACCTGGATTATCTAGACCCGGATTATCTAGACCTGGATTATCTAGACCCGGATTATCTAGACCCGGATTATCAGGACCTGGATTATCTAGACCTGGATTATCAGGACCTGGATTATCTAGACTCGGATTATCTAGACCCGGATTATCTAGACCTGGATTATCTAGACCCGGATTATCTAGACCTGGATTATCAGGACCTGGATTATCTAGACCTGGATTATCAGGACCTGGATTATCTAGACTCGGATTATCTAGACCCGGATTATCTGGTTTTAGGGTAGATGTAGCTGATTGTGAGGCTGTGTTTTAGTGTCTGGTTCTGACGGTTGCTGGTTTCCTTCCTGTCTCCATGCAGCTGTGTGGATTTCACCAGACTTCCGTCACCGACTCCAGAGAACAAAGATCTGTTCTTCGTCACCAAAGGATCCAGCTTGCAGCCTGCATCAGGTAAGTCCTAACCTTCCTCCTGAGGCTTTGTTCTGATGTCTGAACCTGACATGGAGTCGTTCCCTGAAGGTCTCCGAGGATCTCCAGCTCCAAGCTCCTCCTACTCTGAACCCAACGAGAACGAAGCCGGCTACGATTTGTCCAACGGGAGCCGCAGAGACGGCGCCGAGCTGACCAGCGAGAGCCGCAGCCGCTCTCTGGTGGACCTGCAGGACTCGTCTCCCAGCGACGGGCTGGAGGACGGACAATGGCAGCGCAGGACGGGTCTCCTCCCGCTTTCCTTCCAGAACCCCGTCTACCACATGACCGCCACGTCCCCCCTGCAGCCGCAGCAGGCTGAGGCCACGCCCTCGGACGGCTCGGTGGGTTCCCAGGGAAACTGTGAGGACAGGAGCAGCATGGCCACCAAGCCGGCTTTTCTCACCCAGATGTCTGTGGGTGTAGGAGGGGGGGAGAGGGGGGAGAGGATGTCGGCCATGTCCAGCAGCAGCAGCGGCGAGGAATATTCCCGACGAGCTCTGTCTCTCACCGACACGCTCACAGGTAACAGCCGCTCTGCTGCCAGTCAGGGTTTCAGGACTGCCGTGTCATGTGACCGCTGTCCCCCCCCCCCCCCCCTCCACAGGTGGCTCAGCCCCGCCGCGGCAGAACTCTGGTCCCCAGAGACGCATCGATCAGCCTCCCCCGCCTGCCTCTGCTCCACCCGGCCCTCCTCGAGGTCGCACACCTCCCAGCATGCTCAGTGGAGGAGGCTCCGCCTACCCTACGCGCCCCGCCTCCGGCAGTATGATGTCATCCAGTCCTGATTGGCCAAACAGCGGACAGTCGCGACTGAGACAGATGTCCTCATCGTCTAAAGGAGACAGCCCAGAGAAGCAGCGCTCTGCTGCCAAGGTGACAGGGCTGGACCGAGTCATGTGACTTGGAGTCGGGGGTTTCTCTTTCCCAGTGTGGTTCTGCTGGTTCTGGGTCCAGTGTGGTTGTGCTGGTTCTGGGTCCAGTGTGGTTGTGCTGGTTCTGGGTCCTCCAGGGACCTGGTCCTTTGAGGTCCGTGAAAATAAAGAGACCAGAAGAGTTTCTGCTGTGGATTCAAACAGGTCTACCCTTCCTCTGCTTTCACCGCCGTACGCTCTGTTGCCTAGCAACCAAAGTAGTTAAAGAATGAATACCGAACTTCTCACAACTGTTTCTTTTCTGTTTTTTTATGGTAAAGTGAACAAAGACACAGTGATGAGAATCCAGAGTGGAATAAAGGAGCCAACCAGCAGGAGCAGGAACTAATCAGGGTAGAAAGATTAAGTTAATCTGAACGATGTATGTTTAAAAAATATATCTGCAAAATCTCTGATATTCGACAACAAAAAATACTTAGTTAAGCAAAATGTGCAAAATAGCAATAAAAAAATAAAACTATCAGATTTATAGTCCCCACCCTGCAGATTTATTAGAATCTGTCCCTAAATTACAGCCAAACCAGCAAGCCGTGAAATGGAAGGTCTGGAAGTGAAACTCAAATAAATGGTGAGAAATCAATAAATAACCTCAACCAATCACAAAAGACAGTCCATTCTACACGATTGAATCCTGACATGTCAATCATGGTAGGCTGCTTGTCCCTCCCCCTTGTGCGAGTACACCTGAACGAGTCCACCCCCCCATCTACACCCGCCATTTTTTCCATCTACACCAAATTAATGTTTGATGCTTGTCCAAGTTTAGTTCTGATGCGCGGCTGAAGCATCATTGCTGGGGTGGCCAGATTTTGGTTTCTGAAAAGGAGGACACTTTATTGGGGGGGTGTCGACTGCTGGGCCGATGACTGGATCGGACCTTAGCAAAGAGCCATGAGCCGCCTGTGGTCAGCCGGAGGAGGGGGGCCGGGTTTAGTCGCTGCACTGCAGTCGACCAAAACCCGGCACCATTTAGAAATCCCCCCCCCGGAAATTTTTAGGTCTGAAAAGTACGACATGTCCGGGAAAAAGAAGGCGTCTGGTCCACCCATCTTTGCTGCTCTAGCTGCGCGGTGAGAAAGTGGGTCTGATGCGCGGTGGGCAGAGCTTCTCTATCCTTTCTCTGCCTGGAATAATGGCAGCTATATTAGCTGTGACACAGACCGGCGGTGCGTTGCCTCTGGCCCGCTCGCCTCTTCGCTGTTTGTCTCGCCGGCTGGAAGCGGTTTTCTTGTCTGTAATCCAAACTGCAGGCAGCAGGATAATAAAAGCCAACATATTCTGCCGGCAGGTTTCTACATTTGAAGTTAATTTAGGCGTTAATAAACTGTTTCAGAGGAGTGATCATAGCGCTCTGCATCAGCAGTGCTGCGTCTGACTCCCTGCCAGCTGTGTCTGACTCCCTGCCAGCTGTGTCTGACTCCCTGCCAGCTGTGTCTGACTCCCTGCCAGCTGTCTGACTCCCTGCCAGCTGTGTCTGACTCCCTGCCAGCTGTGTCTGACTCCCTGCCAGCTGTGCTGTGTCTGACTCCCTGCCAGCTGTGTCTGACTCCCTGCTGTGTCTGACTCCCTGCCAGCTGTGTCTGACTCCCTGCCAGCTGTGTCTGACTCCCTGCTGTGTCTGACTCCCTGCCAGCTGTGCTGTGTCTGACTCCCTGCCAGCTGTGTCTGACTCCCTGCCAGCTGTGTCTGACTCCCTGCCAGCTGTGTCTGACTCCCAGCTGTGTCTGACTCCTTGCTGTGTCTGACTCCCTGCCAGCTGTGTCTGACTCCCTGCCAGCTGTGCTGTGTCTGACTCCCTGCCAGCTGTGTCTGACTCCCTGCCAGCTGTGTCTGACTCCCTGCCAGCTGTGTCTGACTGCCAGCTGTGTCTGACTCCTTGCTGTGTCTGACTCCCTGCCAGCTGTGTCTGACTCCCTGCCAGCTGTGCTGTGTCTGACTCCCTGCCAGCTGTGTCTGACTCCCTGCCAGCTGTGTCTGACTACCTGCCAGCTGTGTCTGACTCCCTGCCAGCTGTGTCTGACTCCCTGCCAGCTGTGTCTGACTCCCAGCTGTGTCTGACTCCCTGCCAGCTGTGTCTGACTCCTTGCTGTGTCTGACTCCTTGCTGTGTCTGACTCCCTGCCAGCTGTGTCTGACTCCCTGCTGTGTCTGACTCCCTGCCAGCTGTGTCTGACTACCTGCCAGCTGTGTCTGACTCCCTGCCAGCTGTGTCTGACTCCCTGCTGTGTCTGACTCCCTGCCAGCTGTGTCTGACTCCCAGCTGTGTCTTACTCCCAGCTGTGTCTGACTCCCTGCCAGCTGTGTCTGACTCCCTGCTGTGTCTGACTCCCTGCCAGCTGTGTCTGACTCCCAGCTGTGTCTTACTCCCAGCTGTGTCTGACTCCCTGCCAGCTGTGTCTGACTCCCTGCCAGCTGTGTCTGACTCCCTGCCAGCTGTGTCTGACTCCCTGCTGTGTCTGACTCCCTGCCAGCTGTGTCTGACTCCCTGCCAGCAGCTGCTCTAGACGCGCTGCAGAAAGCACACGCATTGTTTTGAAGGCGTGGTTTCGAGGGTTGATCTTAAGGGAGAGGCATGGTTGTGTATGTTCAAAAATGTGTCTTGCTGGAACCATTTTTGTCCTTCAGCACCTTTAAATCAACTATTTTCATTCATTTCAGACGCTACTATTCACAAACTTGGATTACATGAAACTGAACTTCCAATATTCACCACTGTTTGGCGCCATTTCCCTTTTTCCTCTGAGCACAGATCAGCTGGCTTGCTTGGTCTTGCAATGCATCATGGGATACCCAAGGCTACGGAGGATACAGGCGATTAAAGGTCCTGGCAGGAGGTGTTCTTAGAGAGGAACCAGAGGAGAACCAAACAGAACCAGAAGCAGCTTTATCACACTGGAAGAAATCTAAATGAACATTACAGAAACAATAGGCTCTCGCAGCGCTGTTGCTGCTGCAAGAGCCTAATGAGTCATTTTCACTTCAAATAAATGCATTTGTTGTTGATTTGAGGAGAGAAAACAGACATTTAGCTAAAGATGTGATTTACATTTAAAATAAGAAACCAAAGTCTTATTTCAAGTGCAAATTATTTAATGATCTGATTGAAAAATGCTCCTTCCATTGGCGGACTGTCTGACTGATCTCCTCAGATCCAGGCTGAATCATTCCAGAAACGTTGGCGTGTTTTTCCAGTGCGCCACCTTCAGCCGTTCCTCAGGTGTAGCTAATAACTCAGGTGTGTGTCTGTGCGTTCAGGCTCCGTCTCCCTGTGCGTTGGACCGAACCGCCGCATGGCTGCTCAACATGAACTCTGCGTCCTCGTACGGTGAGGCAGAGGACGATCGCCATGACGACGCTTTGGTGGAGAAGGTAGGCGAGCTTGTGTCTGTGTGTGAGCGTTGGTGGTGCAGGTTCTGACCCTCTGTGGCCGTTCAGTACCAGCAGGAGATCGCTCTGCTTCAGGAGAAGCTGCGGCTGGCGGCGCTGCGTCAGGAGGAGTGTGAAGCTCGTCTGATGGTCCAGGACCAACAGAACCAACGGATGCTGCAGGAGTACCAGGTCTGGGTCCTACCTGAAGCCCTCAGAGGTCTGCTCACCTTGTACAGGTGGACCAACGTTATGTTGTGGGTTTCAGACACGGCTGGAGGACACAGAGAGCCGACTGAGGAGACTACAGGATGACAAAGACCTCCAGATGAACAGCATCATCAGCAGGTTGGTCTTACCTGCACCTGTCCATCAGCTCGTCATCACTTCTGACTCACCTGTCTGATCTGTGCAGGCTGATGGCGGTAGAAGAAGAGCTAAAGAAGGATCACTCTGACATGCAGGCCGTGGTGGACCAGAAGCAGAAGGTCATTGAGGCCCAGGTACGTCCTCCTGTTCCACAGATGTTCATCACTGATCTCAGAACATGGGAGCCAGTCAGGCGGAGCTGCATCACGCTGCTCTGCTGGGTAGAACTTCTCCCCTCTGTGGCACCAGATGGGTCTGTTGTCCTGGACTCACGCTGCTCCGTTTGGAGCTGCTAACTCAGCCGGAGACTGACCGCAGGAGGTGCAGCAGGAGGTGCAGCAGGAGTCCTTCACTCAGGAACTGGAGCTCCATTAGCAGAGCTTTAATTTCATCATTCTTCTCTTTATTGCTCAGTTTGATAAAATAATAACAACTAAAACAGTTTTAGATTTGAGCTGCACATTTTAAGCATTTTCCACGTTTTCCTGATGAAGACCAAAACGCTCAAAGCTCCTTCATCATCAGATAAACCTTATAAAGTTGAAACTCTTTGCAATACTTTGGTTGTTTTTTACAGCCTTCATGCATTTAAAAAGTTTGGATCCAGATCAGTTTAGCTTTTCTATAGCAGCTCATTTATAACAACTATAATAACTTCTTCATTTTCAATATTAAAGAGGACATTTCAAACAAACCATCCTGGCTGAGTTATATTTGATGATGATTGAGTGAAATGAGATATTCTTTATCTTTAGAACACTTTTGTTAATTCCAGTATTTTTTAAATAGTGAGCAGTCTCCGCCCTGTCACCATTTATTCACCATCCTTTAGATAGAAACCTTTATTAGCGCTGCAGCACATAAACAGCTCTTTGTTGAAATAGATGGTTCTAACATTTTATTTCTTGATTATGATCCATTTCAGCTTTTATCTCTTTATAAAGTCCTGATTATAAAAGAATCTTTCAAACTGCCTAATAATGCCACAACAATCCAAAAGAAATGTTTTTATTGGACAGATAGAAGTAGAGGAACATAGAGAGAAAAACCATTGGGTGGATTTCCAATCTAAGCCTGCTTTCTATAATAGAACAGGCATAAAGGAGAACTTCCTGCGTCTTTATCCATAAATATTCAGTTAGATAATGAAATATTGTTTCTGGATATAAAGTAGCATCCATCCATCATCTCCCAGCTCACCATCAGGGACGTGGCGGGGCTGCTGGTTCACCACCAGAGCGGACATGGCGCACAGCGTGCACTAGGACTGATGCACGAGTGCGGCTAGCTGAGCAGACTTTAAATAGCGGGGGACGCGAATAGAAGATATAGATGCTGCACCCCGTCGCTCAGATTGGTAGCTGTGAGCTGAGCCCCTCCCTGAGCGGAGCAGCTCCCCTCAGTCCTTTACTGGCTGTTTATTAAACGGCTGTTTGAATCTCTAGAGCTATAGAGTTAGTTTATCCCCCAGAGATTAGATGCACCAACCATCATCACATCCGTTCACAATAAAACATAGAAACAAACATTGAAGAGCAAAGAAAATAAAAAGTTATATAGTTATATAGAACAAACGCTACAGGTGTTGATGAAAAGAGTAGAACCCTGAGGGGTGACTAAGAACTTTAAGACCATTAAACATCTACAGGGCGAGTTCGCAGGAACCAAACTGAGCTCAGCTTAGACCTCAGTCTCTCCCAATACGCAGTCCAGCGCACTGAGGTGGCGCCATTTTGTTGCTCCTGTTTCTATCATCTGTTCAGATGCCCCTCCCCCAACATGGCCCTGCAGAAATGGCCACATTCCACTTCCTCAGGAGGAAGGTTCCACTTCCTCAGGAGGAAGGTTCCGCTTCCTCAGGGAAAAAGGTTCCGCTTCCTCAGGGAAAAAGGTTCCGCTTCCTCTGGAAATAGGTTCCGCTTCCTCTGGAAAAAGGTTCCGCTTCCTCGGGGAAGAAGGTTCCGCTTCCTCTGGAAAAAGGTTCCGCTTCCTCTGGAAAAAGGTTCCGCTTCCTCAGGGAAAAAGGTTCCGCTTCCTCTGGAAAAAGGTTCCGCTTCCTCTGGAAAAAGGTTCCGCTTCCTCTGGAAAAAGGTTCCGCTTCCTCAGGGAAAAAGGTTCCGCTTCCTCTGGAAAAAGGTTCCGCTTCCTCGGGGAAGAAGGTTCCGCTTCCTCTGGAAAAAGGTTCCGCTTCCTCAGGAAAAAGGTTCCGCTTCCTCAGGAAAAAGGTTCCGCTTCCTCAGGAGGAAGGTTCCACTTCCTCGGGGAAAAAGGTTCCGCTTCCTCTGGAAAAAGGTTCCGCTTCCTCGGGGAAGAAGGTTCCGCTTCCTCTGGGGAAAAAGGTTCCGCTTCCTCTGGAAAAAGGTTCCGCTTCCTCTGGAAAAAGGTTCCGCTTCCTCTGGAAAAAGGTTCCGCTTCCTCTGGAAAAAAGGTTCCACTTCCTCGGGGAAAAAGGTTCCGCTTCCTCTGGAAAAAGGTTCCGCTTCCTCGGGGAAGAAGGTTCCGCTTCCTCTGGAAAAAGGTTCCGCTTCCTCAGGAAAAAGGTTCCGCTTCCTCAGGAAAAAGGTTCCGCTTCCTCAGGAGGAAGGTTCCACTTCCTCGGGGAAAAAGGTTCCGCTTCCTCTGGAAAAAGGTTCCGCTTCCTCGGGGAAGAAGGTTCCGCTTCCTCTGGGGAAAAAGGTTCCGCTTCCTCTGGAAAAAGGTTCCGCTTCCTCTGGAAAAAGGTTCCGCTTCCTCTGGAAAAAGGTTCCGCTTCCTCTGGAAAAAAGGTTCCACTTCCTCGGGGAAAAAGGTTCCGCTTCCTCTGGAAAAAGGTTCCGCTTCCTCGGGGAAAAAGGTTCTGGGAAGAAGAGCCGGTCTGGCCTTCTAAAAACCCACCATTGGTTCTGTCCAAAGTTCAGCTTCTTATCCTGGGAAACTCCTCGGCCATGTAGCTCTCCTTCCATGGCCTAATGCCAGGCCACGCCCCCTAAAACTGTGCTAACTTCTGTGTGGGTGGGTGGAGCCAGACGTCGTCCTCAGACCGCGGCTCTGTTAGCTTTAGCGTCCAGAGAGGCTAACGTCTAACCGGCTCCTTCTGGACAGTTTTATTTTTTTACCTGCCTCCCGGCTCACATGAGATCAGCCGTAAAGACCCGCTTCATCTGTTCTTGTCTCTCAGGAGAAGAGAATCGCCAGTCTGGACGCAGCCAACACCCGTCTGATGGCGGCGCTGACCCAGCTGAAGGAACGATACGGCGTGACATCACAGAGGAACGGCCTGTCTCCTAGCAACACGTCATCTCTGCAGATAACTGAGAACGGGGAGTTCCGTAACTCCGGCAACTGCTGAGAGGACGGATCAGAGCTGTGATTGGCTGAAACTGCAGGGAAGGGCGGGGCTTATAAACGGACTCAGACCAAATGATAAATCCACCAATCGGACACGTCCATGGAATGTTCTACACCGCCAAAATGACCTCTGACCTGATCCCACCTTGTTGCTAGGTTAACCTCCCTCCTAGTTTTGCATGTTCCTCTTTATGTTCTTCCTAAAATGGTGAGAACTTCCACCCTCACCTTACCGGTTAAATCCGACCTCAGTGGGCCGACAGGCGCCGCTGCAGCCTCAAACCCTCAGGCCCCGCCCCCATGTTGTTCCGCCATTGTTTTAAAGATGCTCTGCATACAGGAAATGGTCTGACAGAACGATGGCGGCGCAGGCAGAGCCGCTCCACTAGGTTAGCCTAGCGTAGCACAGCTGGTGGAAAGTGTTAGCCTAGCTGGAACCCTTGCAGTGATCGTGTTGGCCTCTTTGGGCTTCCGTAGCTTTGACTATTTCATTGGGTGAGCCCATCCAGAATTAGACGTTAGTTTGTGTTTCAGAGAATTTTAATGTAAACAGATTTTATTGTAAAACTTTTAACTTGTAATGAGTTGTGCCCCCCCTCCCCCCAGTGTTGGCTGTGGCTTCTGTCTGTTCTGTATCTATGAGCCTCTGTTCTGTTATTTATCTACAGTATTTATAAGGAGGTCTGCTCTAATAAACCCGTCCTCTGATCATCAACACACAGACAACCACAACGCTTCCATCTGTTCTTTATTCATTCTGCTCCACAGCACACAGGAAGTGATGTCACAGGCCCTGCATGAAGCGCTCCAGTGGGTCCTGGTTCCAGTACTCATGGTTCCAGCCCAGAAACCAGCCGGTGAAGGTCGGGGGTTCGAATCCCTGTTTCAGTGTCACCACGGGGGTCCGCGGGTCACGGCCAGCCGGGTCGGTGCCGATGTAACGCTCCGCTGGAGAAAGAGACACGGTTATCAGCTGAACACCTGTGGAGGAGGGGGGGGGGGGGGGGTACCGCCTCCTGCTCTCTCACCTGATACCGCTGCCTCCCTCTTCTCCTCCTCATGAGCCTCCTTGCCGATCCACACAAAGACCTGCAGGAGAACAAGGTGAGCTCACACCACAACCAGAACCTTACTGACGATGGCGGGGAGGACTCACCTGATCCCAGGTGTCCAGGATCATGACATCATCAGGAGCCAGATCATCCTGGGTTAGCTCTCCTGGAACCTCCTCCATCTGAGAACATCAGAGGAACCTTAAAACACAGCAGCTCCGCCCACAACCACCGCTCCTTTAAGACCAACTATGTCACCACGAGCAGTCAGCCATGGCAGACTCCATCAGTCTGACCTCTGACCCCTCCATGGCTGTGTCCCAATGTCCGCCATAATGACTAGAGACGCCATTTTGATGAGTGTCTGAACGTCTGGAGGCCGTCACCACCCGACCCGTCCTGCGCCATCAGCTGATTCGCACGTCCAGATATCCATCCGGGTCGTCCTCCATTTTATTTTGGTAAAAAGACCTAAGTGACGTTTTTCCCTCCCTAAAAATAGTCAGCGTCCGAAACTATAATGTGTTAAAGGTTAATAATGTCTTTCCTGACAAAATAAAAGCATTTAAATCCTGTTTTATAACTTTTGCTGATCTGTAGATGAAATGGGATGCTACGCTACTTCCTGCAGCTAACTATCAGCTTTGCATTTAAACATAAAACATTAATGTTTTCCTTTCCTGTTAACAGAAACCACTAGAATGCAGATAAACACGCTTTAATCAGATTTACTGCTCTGATCGTGTCCTATGATGACGTCACAGATGCTGTTTCACGGAGAAAATGGAAAAAGCATCAAAATTGTCTCAGAAAAGTTATTAAACATTTTTTAAAGATGTGTTTTAGTGTTCTTTGGAGAGTTAAGGATAGAAATAAGTAATTTTAAAACTATAATTACATTATTTATGGACACCTGGATTATTAACGCATGATCGGGACGGATCGTGCTTCAGGGACGGATCGATCGTGCTTCAGGGACGGATCGATCGTGCTTCAGGGACGGATCGATCGTGCTTCAGGGACGGATCGATCGTGCTTCAGGGACGGATCGATCGTGCTTCAGGGACGGATCGATCGTGCTTCAGGGACGGATCGATCGTGCTTCAGGGACGGATCGATCGTGCTTCAGGGACGGATCGATCGTGCTTCAGGGACGGATCGATCGTGCTTCAGGGACGGATCGATCGTGCTTCAGGGACGGATCGATCGTGCTTCAGGGACGGATCGTGCTTCAGGGACGGATCGATCGTGCTTCAGGGACGGATCGATCGTGCTTCAGGGACGGATCGATCGTGCTTCAGGGACGGATCGTGCCTCAGGGACGGATCGTGCCTCAGGGACGGATCATTCCTCAGGGACGGATCGTGCTTCAGGGACGGATCGTGCTTCAGGGACGGATCATTCCTCAGGGACGGATCGTGCCTCAGGGACGGATCGTGCTTCAGGGACAGATCGTGCTTCAGGGACGGATCGTGCCTCAGGGACGGATCGATCGTGCTTCAGGGACGGATCGATCGTGCTTCAGGGACGGATCGATCGTGCTTCAGGGACGGATCGATCGTGCTTTAGGGACGGATCGATCGTGCTTCAGGGACGGATCGATCGTGCTTCAGGGACGGATCGATCGTGCTTCAGGGACGGATCGATCGTGCCTCAGGGACGGATCGATCGTGCCTCAGGGACGGATCGTGCCTCAGGGACGGATCGTGCCTCAGGGACGGATCGTGCCTCAGGGACGGATCGTGCCTCAGGGACGGATCGTGCCTCAGGGACGGATCGTGCTTCAGGGACGGATCGATCGTGCTTCAGGGACGGATCGATCGTGCTTCAGGGACGGATCGATCGTGCTTCAGGGACGGATCGATCGTGCTTCAGGGACGGATCGTGCCTCAGGGACGGATCGTGCCTCAGGGACGGATCGTGCCTCAGGGACGGATCGTGCCTCAGGGACGGATCGTGCCTCAGGGACGGATCGATCGTGCTTCAGGGACGGATCGATCGTGCTTCAGGGACGGATCGTGCCTCAGGGACGGATCGTGCTTCAGGGACGGATCGTGCCTCAGGGACGGATCGTGCCTCAGGGACGGATCGTGCCTCAGGGACGGATCGTGCCTCAGGGACGGATCGTGCCTCAGGGACGGATCGTGCTTCAGGGACGGATCGATCGTGCTTCAGGGACGGATCGATCGTGCTTCAGGGACGGATCGATCGTGCTTCAGGGACGGATCGATCGTGCCTCAGGGACGGATCGATCGTGCCTCAGGGACGGATCGTGCCTCAGGGACGGATCGTGCCTCAGGGACGGATCGTGCCTCAGGGACGGATCGTGTAGTGACACTGGGTGGAAAAGTAGTGCAGTGGAAATTGCCCACAATGCACCTTGACTGTAGTGATGAAGTATCTGAACGGTCAGTTCTTTATGTCGTGATGGAGGGGTCAGAGGTCAGGGTGGGCGGTGGGATGAAGCCCATGTGACCTACCTGGAAGTTTCCGGACTTGTTGGAGCAGGCAAACAGACGAGGAGGATGAGCATCCATGGAGTTGCTGAGCCGAGGAGAGTGACAGTAGTCCTCCTTTCCTCCCAGAGCCTCCCAGAAGCCATCTGTAAGCAGACAGGAAGATGCCATCATCCTGCTCAGGTCATTCCAGAAGATTCACTCTGCCTCCTCCTCACCTTCCTCCCCCCCCTCCTCCAGCTGGGTGGGAGTAACCTGGAGGATCTCGGACAGATGATCGGCTCCTTTAGCTTCAGCTGAGCTGCTGCTCTTCCCTTTCCACAGCCAGGATCCAGAGGAGGACACCAGGAGGAAAGCATCGTTGGAGTTCAGACAGGAGGAGGACGGCTCCACCTGTAGGGGGCAGCAGAGCAACGGGCTGATAGAGAGCTGGTTCACCTGAGAAGGACTCTAACCTGACGCTACGGCAACAGCTGCAGGTCATTAAACCAAAAACTGGGAAAGAGGGAAATAATAAACCAAAAGCTCCGCCTTAAATCCAGTCGTTACCTTCCGGCCGGCAGGAGGACGTCTGCTGGGTTTTAATAAAGCTGCTCATATGAGTATTTTTCTTACTCCCTTCCTAGTCACATCCTAGTCTCCTCCTAGTCATCTCACCTCCACAGCTCTGGTGTCTCCTGCTGGATTGGCTCGGACCCGGAACAAACGGGTCTCTGCCGCTGCAGACTGGCCGCCCTCCCTGGATGTCCCGCCCTTGTAGACCACCATTGGTTTGCCATCAAACATGCTCATGAGGTGGGGGGGCTCTTTGCCCTGAACAACCCTCACCTGTGCAGAAGGTTCCCAGTCATCAGGGTTCAGGTGAAAAGCGTACCAGTGGGACCAGCGTTCCCAGTTGTTTTACCTGGACTGCTCCACCTCCCAGTTCGTCGTCCAGCTGGATGGCCAGAACAGCCGAAGCCCCGGTCTCGTCCTGACTAGACTCCGCCCCCTGCCTGCAGAGGAAGCAGAGGACAGGTTATCTTCACTCACCAGCAGGTGGAGCTGTGGGACAGACCCAGTCCAGTATAGCGGGGGGGGGGCCTCACCAGATGTAGATGATGTGACCCTGCCTGCCACCATGCTGGTACTGGTAATGGATCAGGTAGCTGTCTCCTCCAAAGAACTGACCGTAGGAAGCCGGGTCCACCAGAACCTTATCGGATCCTTCAATCCTCCAGATCTGCACGCAGACACAAACCGCTCAATTTCCCACAACTGGGTTCATATCAAAGGCGTTCTGACCCGGTTCCTGGGTAGGAACCCTCCTTCATTAAATCCCCACCACCAGAGGCGGATCCAGGGGGGGGCTAATTGGGCCACAGCCCCGGATGTTTCCCCAAGAGCCCCAGATCTGAGTCAGATGTGCAGTACTGGAATCAACCAGATGGTGGCAGCCTGCAGCGTTCCAGCAGAAGGAGAAGTTTTTCCCTCATGGCTGACAGCTTTAGGAGTCCAGAGGCTCCGCAGCAGATTTTAAATGGATCGGCCAAATCACCAAATCCACAGTTTGGTGTTTAATGAAGAGAGAAATAAACACGGTTAAAGAATTCCAGGTGAGTTCATTTAATCCCATCTTATGGAAGAGGAGCGGATTATTTCAGGCAGCTGAAATCTCCAATCTCTCCTCCTCCCTTTGGGAAATAAAAAGCAACTGTTTCCAACTTCTCAAAAATGTTAATGTGATAAAGTAGTATAATAGAAATGTCCTTAATCCAGTAATCTGTCATATTCTACAGTAGAATGGGATTTAGCTGAAAATCTACGCATCTTCAAACTCAGGACCCCTGATCTCCTAGGATCCTAGATCCTCCCATGAGGGCGGATCTAGAATCCTAGATCCTCCCATGAGAGCGGATCTAGGATTCTAAGATGAGGAGCTTCATCTCTGGATTCTCGGTTTTCAGCGGGATCCACAGTAACAGAACCGTTCCAGGTGTCCTGGTTCCGGAGGAGCAGACCGGTACCAGCTATGGACCACTCCGGTCAAGCAGGGACAGCTCTCACCTTTTTGTCTCCGTCTCCTCTGTCCACCATCCCGTACTGAGCTGCCATGGAATCTGATTGGTGCAGCTTTGACACATCAAACGGTACCTGTCCAATCAGAAGAGGTCCATTAACGACCCGTTTGAGGACGGACTGGATCAGATCCTGAACCAGATCGACCTACTTTCTGTATCTTTGCCACTTTATTGGAAACGTAGGCCGTTCCCATGCCAACGGTGTCATCGGCGTCCTTCCAGTCCTTAAAGAACTGCTTGAAGAGGGGGGTCTCGCCGTACTCGGGAAGGACCTGGACCTGAGGGGGGGCAGAGACACAGATACTCTTAGGTTCCCTCTAAGGTGGCGGGAGAGGGTCCCTTTGAGGCGGTCACCTGGGTGTAGGGGGGGTAGTTCATCTGCTGGATGAACTTCTCTGAGCTCTGCAGGACAGCGTGCCGCTCATCGCTGTTAGCATCCCTTCCTGCAAACAGACAACAGGTGATCTCAGGTGAGTGCTGCTCAGAGAGGACCGCCCTCTTCTCGTCCAGAGGACGCAGCCGATCCCATCCAGAACCGAGTCGGACCTTTCCAGACAAAGATCTGTCCGTTGGTTCCATTGTCCAGGATGAAACACTCAGTGGACTCCAAGGCGTCTTGGGGGAACGGGTTCTGCTCCGATACCAGGGTGACCTCCATGTCCCCCCCGGCGTTGGACACCTGAAGGGACGGCGGGACAAACCAGAACAAATGTTAGGGGAAAAAGGAAGTGACATCACGACTGGAACCCAGAGAACCTTAGCCGAGGTACCTTGTAGAGCTTGGCCACCTTTCTGTTGGACACGTCCGTCTGGGTGTCCTCCTGGTGGGACTCGGGAAGATCCGGTTTCTCTCCCAGAATCTGATCGTACGGATGACAGGTAACAGGAAATGGTTTACCTCCTGTCCTCCATGGATCAGGTTCAGGACCGCGGTCCACTTGGTCTCACTGAACCTTCTAGACTGTACCCTCCGGTGACCTTTGACCCTGGCTCAGAGTTAGACCTGTTCTGCTGATCTGGTTACCTCTATCATCTTCTCTGGCTCTTCGCCTTCACCAACCACCTGGAGATTGGCCCGCCCACACCTCTCGTTGTCACGGATACTCTTAGAGACCTGTCAATGCATCAGCCGGTCAGCCTGATGACATCAGAATGAGGCCGCTGTGTGACATCACCACTCACCTTGGTGGCCTTGAGCTTCTCAAACACGTTGCTATGGCAACCAGACCATTGGATAATTTCCTGTGGGGACATAAGAAGGTTTATCCGTCCCCTCTGTCCAGGTACACCACCTGTCACCATCTGTCCCTACCTGTCCCAGGTCCAGGATGAAACTGTCTCCCTGGTTGAAACTCTCCCAGCTGACCGGAACCTCTGTTGCCCTAACGACACGCCGACCTTTGACCTGGAGCAGCCTCTGAACGTCCACCTCGTTGGTCACCACATGGTTGAACCCTGAGGCCACGCCTCCTTTCTGCAGGAAGACAAACAGGAATTGCAATCAAAGCCAAAGTGACGTCTGACAGGAGGTGTGTGTTTGGTCACCATGGTTACCAGGTAGGTGAGGCCCGTTTTGAAGTACCCGCTGAAGGTGGAGGACTCGTGACCTTGGACCTCGCGGTACTGGATGGGCGCGCCCTGCAGGAAGTCGTCCATCTGGACAGCAAGAATGGCCGCGGCTCCACTTTCATCCTGAGAGCACTCGGCACCTGCAGAACCAGCGTCACACTGATGGAAACGCTTCCAGGTCGCCGTTACCACGGCAACACAGCCCAAGCTGCTCTGAGGCTCCCTGAGGTTCCTCCATCGGACATTCCCCCGATCAGATGTTTCTGATGTTTGCTGCTAATGGGTCCGACTTTCACACGTGTTCATTCATAGTTCTGCTGCTTCAGGGTCTCATATATATGGGTTTATATTTTATGTTCTTTGAATATTATATTATATTTAGTTTTTAATCTAAGCACTCTCATCACTCTGACAGATGACATTGGTACCAAGCTGTATGATGTGACTTGTTTTTGGTATCGGTTGCATGGCTGTCCACGAGCCCGGTCCCAGCACTCAGGTCCGGTCCGGTCCCAGCACTCACATCCGGTCCGGTCCCAGCACTCAGGTCAGGTCCGGTCCCAGCACCCAGGTCCGGTCCGGTCCCAGCACCCAGGTCCGGTCCGGTCTCAGCACCCAGGTCCGGTCCGGTCCCAGGACCTGACCCAGCACTCAGGTCCGATCCGGTCCCAGCACCCAGGTCCGGTCCGGTCCCAGCACCCAGGTCCGGTCCGGTCCCAGGACCTGACCCAGCACTCAGGTCCGGTCCCAGCACCCAGGTCCGGTCCCAGCACCCAGGTCCGGTTCCAGCACCCAGGTCCGGTCCCAGCACTCAGATCCGGTCCGGTCCCAGCACTCAGGTCAGGTCCGGTCCCAGCACTCAGGTCAGGTCCGGTCCCAGCACTCAGGTCCGGTCCGGTCCCAGCACTCAGATCCGGTCCGGTCCCAGCACCCAGGTCAGGTCCGGTCCCAGCACCCAGGTCCGGTCCGGTCCCAGCACCCAGGTCCGGTCCGGTCTCAGCACCCAGGTCCGGTCCGGTCCCAGGACCTGACCCAGCACTCAGATCCGGTCCGGTCCCAGCACCCAGGTCAGGTCCGGTCCCAGCACCCAGGTCCGGTCCGGTCCCAGCACCCAGTTCCGGTCCGGTCCCAGCACCCAGGTCCGGTCCGGTCTCAGCACCCAGGTCCGGTCCGGTCCCAGCACCCAGGTCAGGTCCGGTCCCAGCACCCAGGTCCGGTCCGGTCCCAGCACCCAGGTCCGGTCCGGTCCCAGCACCCAGGTCCGGTCCGGTCCCAGGACCTGACCCAGCACTCAGGTCCGGTCCCAGCACCCAGGTCCGGTCCCAGCACCCAGGTCCGGTCCCAGCACCCAGGTCCGGTTCCAGCACCCAGGTCCGGTCCCAGCACTCAGATCCGGTCCGGTCCCAGCACTCAGGTCAGGTCCGGTCCCAGCACTCAGGTCCGGTCCGGTCCCAGCACTCAGGTCCGGTCCGGTCCCAGCACTCAGATCCGGTCCGGTCCCAGCACCCAGGTCAGGTCCGGTCCCAGCACCCAGGTCCGGTCCGGTCCCAGCACCCAGGTCCGGTCCGGTCCCAGGACCTGACCCAGCACTCAGGTCCGGTCCGGTCCCAGCACCCAGGTCCGGTCCGGTCCCAGCACCCAGGTCCGGTCCGGTCCCAGCACCCAGGTCCGGTCCGGTCCCAGGACCTGACCCAGCACTCAGGTCCGGTCCCAGCACCCAGGTCCGGTCCCAGCACCCAGGTCCGGTCCCAGCACCCAGGTCCGGTTCCAGCACCCAGGTCCGGTTCCAGCACCCAGGTCCGGTCCCAGCACCCAGGTCCGGTTCCAGCACCCAGGTCCGGTCCCAGCACCCAGGTCCGGTTCCAGTACCCAGGTCCGGTCCGGTTCCAGCACCCAGGTCCGGTCCGGTCCCAGCACCCAGGTCTGGTCCCAGCACCCAGGTCCGGTCCGGTCCAGGGACCTGACCCAGCACTCAGGTCCGGTCCGGTCCCAGCACTCAGGTCCGGTCCGGTCCCAGCACCCAGGTCCGGTCCCAGCACCCAGGTCCGGTTCCAGCACCCAGGTCCGGTTCCAGCACCCAGGTCCGGTCCGGTCCCAGCACCCAGGTCCGGTCCCAGCACCCAGGTCCGGTTCCAGCACCCAGGTCCGGTTCCAGCACCCAGGTCCGGTCCCAGCACCCAGGTCCGGTTCCAGCACCCAGGTCCGGTCCCAGCACCCAGGTCCGGTCCGGTCCCAGCACCCAGGTCCGGTCCGGTCCCAGCACCCAGGTCCTGCCCGGTCCCAGCACCCAGGTCCGGTCCGGTCCCAGCACCCAGGTCCGGTCCGGTCCCAGCACCCAGGTCCGGTCCGGTCCCAGCACCCAGGTCCGGTCCGGTCCCAGCAGGATGTTGGATCCATCAGCTCCACCTTAATGGGAACTCTGGAGAAGCAGGAGCAACCAAAGGGTTGTGGGTTCAAAGCCCAGCTCTGGCTTTCATTGTGATGTCGTTGGACACCTCATCGTCTACTGATGGTGGTCGGAGGCGGCGCCTGTCTACGGCAGCCTGGCTTCTGTCAGCGAGCCCCGGGGCGGCGGTGGCCGTGACGCAGCTCGCCACCATCAGCGTGTGGCTGAATGTGGGGAAAAAGCGCTTTGCTCAAACCTCCCACTAGGTTCCAGGTTTTTCCAGACCGGAGCTCCTCCTCTACTGCAGGGTTAGGGTCAGCCCCCCACCCCCACCTGCTTCTGCTTCTCTACTCACCTTGCCAGTAGTGCAGGTCGTACTGCAGGTCTCCTCGGCGGTTGCTGGTGCTGTTCAGAACCACGTAGGCGTCTCCGGTGTAGAAGCGTCCATAAAGACTCTCAGGAACCGGAGCCAGGTCCATGTTCTCCACCCGCCACACCTGAAGCCCCGCCTCTTTGCCTGCACGCTCAAATTCAGGATGGGAAGCCATGATGTCACCTGTGGTGGGCGGAGCAGCAGAAACATCACCTGTTAGGCAGCGGGCACGCCACGGAGCGGACAGACGGCAGGACGACCCGGTTCTGACTTCACCCTGAGCATCTGCAGAACCTGGAAGTCGACCCGGCTCCGCCCACACCTTCTCCCAGCCGCACCCCCCAGAGCCAAGACCTGGACCGGGACCAGAACCCCCATGTCCCAGATTAAAGGACCCACCAGGCTGGATCCATTACTGGACATCAGGAGTCCAGAACCGGGCTCAACCAGACCAGGTTCTAGAAGGTTCTGATCCTCGGACCTGCAGGTCTGAGTGTCGGGCTCCAGAGAGGAAGGATTGCTCAGAACCGATTGGGTCCGAGCAGACGGAGGAGATGGGAGTGGACCAGAACCAGGGGAACCGGAACCAGGGGAAGCAGGGGAACCGGAACCAGAACCAGGGGAACCGGAACCAGCGGAACCAGAACCAGGGGAAGCAGAACCAGAACCAGGGGAACTGGAACCAGGGGAAGCAGAACCAGAGGAACCGGAACCAGAACCAGGGGAACTGGAACTGTGGTAAAAACTGTAACTGTTTCACATCCAGAAGAGGAAGCTGTCCAGGAGTCAGAGGAGGAAAATGTTTGAGTTCGGTTCTGATCAGAAAAACTTTAAACCAAACTGGGTTCACTGAGGCCCGGTCCAAACCAGGAAGTCTCACCGATCTCCAGAGAGGAGGCACACCTGAGCTAGGCGGAAGCAGAACAATGCTCCACACCCAAACAGAACACCTGCAGGTTCTGGAACAGCTGGCAGGTAAACGGGCCAGAACAAGCAGCCCGGTTCTCCCTCAGCTGAGGAGGAGCAGGACGAGGAGGAGGTCCGTGTTCTCACCTGGTTCTGGGATGAAGTCTGATCCAAACAGCAGCTGCTCACCTTCAGGACCTGTAGGGATGTTTTCCTCAGCTGGACCTGAGCGGTTCTGACTCAGCAGGGTGGGGCTGCAGGTAATTCAAGCCTCCACCCCTCCCCCACCGCCCTGCAGCAGCCCCGCCCAGCTGGTCCTGATAGGCGGAGCATAAACCGGGTCACGGGCCAGATCAGTTTGACAACAGGCCTCTGCTTCTCCTGCAGGTTCTGCTGTGGTTCCATCAGAACTTCTCCAGGTCCAGAGATGAAGCACCTGCTGTTACCGGACCCAACAGAACCAACTGTTCCTCTGGAACAGAACCACTGCAAGGTCCAGTTCAGTTACTGGTTTGGGTTCTATGACCCACTTTCAGGTCTCCTCTGCAGACTGAGGTGGGACGATGTTCTGGACCAGAGTTCTGGATCAGAGATCTGGATCAGAACATCTTCAGATCCAGAGCCGCAGGGGAACCTTTGGACCTGGTTCTGAACCTGGTTCTGGGATGATTCTCTGGACCTGATTTCTTCTGATTTTGAACATCTCCCCTCATTCTGCTTCACTTCCGGCTTTTATTTTCCGGAACTTGCCCGTTTGACGTCATTTCCGGGGTAGAACACCTGGGTTGTGTATTTTGAAGTCTCAGACCGGAAGTTGTTGGTCCGAGCTGGCTGTGGGTTCGGCTCTGGTTTCCAGTGGTCTTTCCACGCGTGGACGCGGTTCCGTGGAGATGGAGATGTTCAACAAGCTGAGCGGGATGCTGCTGGGGGCCCTGGAGGCGGTGAGTCCGCGGAACGGGGGACACGGAGACACTCTCCATGTCCCTCCTGTCCCCTCAGCTCCTCCATGAAGCTATAAGCTAGCAGCCGTGTTTAGCTGAAACTGCGCATGCGCAGTAGGCTACCAGCTGACTGCTGAATGAGGTGGACCCACAGCCTTTAGCTCAGCTCTATTCCTCTAGATCTACAACCCTGCAGCTGTTTCATGCAGCACATCATAGATCTACATAAAAACACACACATATAAATATATACATATATAATATTTATCTATATACTTATATATGTGTGTTTATATATCTACAATACAGAGTATAAGTCTGGACACTCCTTCTCATTCAGAGAGAGATATTTATTTTCATGACTATAAAAATTATAGATTCCACTGACGGCATCAGAACTATGAATGAACTCGTGGAATTATATATATTATATATAATAATATATATACTGAAGAGAAAAATGAAACAACTGAGAATGTCTTCTACTCTAGATTCTTCAAAGTAGCCTCCTTTAGCTTTGATCTCTCTCTCATTCTCTTGATGAGCTTCCAGAGGCCGTCACCTGAAATGGTTCTCAGTCTTGAAGGAGTTCCCAGAGATGCTTAGACCTGGTTGGCCTGTTGCCTTCACTCTAGTCTTAGATTTTATTTGATCATTTTGTGTGTAAAGAAAAATAAATTTCATTAAGAACAGCTCTGTAGACTATTTCAGTTTTTAAAGTGCAGCGTTGATAAGGCAGGATAAAAACAGTGATGAAAACAGTAAAGACGTGACTGCATAGTTTCAGTTCCAACAGTTCATCAGTGTGATGGCGGTGGGGAAGAAGCTGCTGCAGAACCTGCTGGTCCTGCATTGAATGCTGGGAAGCCTCTTCCCAGAGGGCAGCAGGGAGAACAGTCCATGGTGGGGGGGTCATTGATGATGTCACAGGACACGCAGCGCTGGCCGCTGGCTAAGCATCTGTACCACTTCCCCAAGCGCTTCACAGGCTTTTCTTGGATAGTTGGGATGGTGTTCTCTCCAATTTTGAAGTGGTTCCGATCCGAGGTTCTAGAGGCTGGTCAGACCAGTTTACACCAGTCTGGCCAGTTTGAACCAGCCTGGCCTCTGCATGTCTTCCAGAGGGAACCTACGGTGGACCTGCTGGACTCCTTCGTGGATCACTGGAGGTCCATCACCACCTACTACATCCAGACCACAGGTGAGGTTGGGTCAGCAGCTACTTGCTACCTCACACCACCAGCTGACGCCTGATTGGCCCATTCTTTGTGCAGATGACAGCCGCCCCGCCTCCCAGACCGACATCCCCTGGCGTCTGCGGCAGATGTCTGACATCCTGGTGTACGAAGAGAAGCAGCAGGTGATGACCTCACACACAGCTGTTACCATGGCAACATCATGAGCACAGCCTTGAAACGTCTGGTTTTACTGGTCAGGGCTGAAGTTAGCTCTGGAAGCTAGAACATCCCAAATACCTGAGAGAGAGAGAGAACATCTAGAACTAATTATCTAGACTGGCCTTTCTAAGACACAGAGGAGAAATGACCAAGAGATGGAGCCTGTGGAACCTGGGTTCACCTGAGGACGTTCTCCACCTGCTTGATTCTGCAGAGGAACTCAGGTTCCAGGTCCAGCAGCCCAGTCTAGCTGGGGTTCCTGTAGGGGAGAGAGAACATGAGGAAAAGTTCAGAACCTTCACTGGAGAAGCTGGAATACTAAACTATTCCTCATCCAGTCGGTTAGCCCAGAACAGCCTCAGCAAAGGTCAGAGGTGATAATTCAGAATGACCGACTGGTTCCAGAACCTCCGCAGACCCGGCAGAACTCAGTAAAGCTCCTGATGATCCCATAGAATCCTGGGAACCTGGTCTGAGGAGCCAGGAGGAAGAAGCTGGCCCTGCAGTCAAACATGATGGTGGCAGAGTGGTGCCCTGGGACCACTGGCCTCCATGGAACCAACAGTTCTGTTCAGGAGAGACTGAAGGAGGAAGGCTAAAAAAATGAGAAGGTTCTGATGGGTGATATAGGAGGTTCTAGAGGCTGATGGAGGAGGTTCTAGAGGCTGATGGAGGAGGTTCTAGAGGCTGATGGAGGAGGTTCTAGAGGCTGATGGAGGAGGTTCTAGAGGTTGATGGAGGAGGTTCTAGAGGCTGATGGGGGAGGTTCTAGAGGCTGATGGAGGAGGTTCTAGAGGCTGATGGAGGAGGTTCTAGAGGCTGATATAGGAGGTTCTAGAGGCTGATATAGGAGGTTCTAGAGGCTGATGGGGGAGGTTCTAGAGGCTGATGGAGGAGGTTCTAGAGGCTGATGGGGAGGTTCTAGAAGGTGATGGGGGAGGTTCTAGAGGCTGATGGAGGAGGCTCTAGAAGCTGAAGGGGAGGTTCTAGAAGCTGATGGAGGAGGTTCTAGAGGCTGATGGAGGAGGTTCTAGAGGCTGATGGAGGAGGTTCTAGAGGCTGATGGAGGAGGTTCTAGAGGCTGATGGAGGAGGTTCTAGAGGCTGATGGGGAGGTTCTAGAAGGTGATGGGGGAGGTTCTAGAGGCTGATGGAGGAGGTTCTAGAGGCTGATGGGGAGGTTCTAGAAGCTGATGGAGGAGGTTCTAGAGGCTGATGGGGAGGTTCTAGAAGGTGATGGGGGAGGTTCTAGAGGCTGATGGAGGAGGTTCTAGAGGCTGATGGGGAGGTTCTAGAAGGTGATGGGGGAGGTTCTAGAGGCTGATGGAGGAGGTTCTAGAGGCTGATGGAGGAGGTTCTAGAAGCTGATGGAGGAGGTTCTAGAGGCTGATATAGGAGGTTCTAGAGGCTGATGGGGGAGGTTCTAGAGGCTGATATAGGAGGTTCTAGAGGCTGATGGGGGAGGTTCTAGAGGCTGATGGAGGAGGTTCTAGAGGCTGATGGGGAGGTTCTAGAAGGTGATGGGGGAGGTTCTAGAGGCTGATGGAGGAGGCTCTAGAAGCTGAAGGGGAGGTTCTAGAAGCTGATGGAGGAGGTTCTAGAGGCTGATGGAGGAGGTTCTAGAGGCTGATGGAGGAGGTTCTAGAGGCTGATGGAGGAGGTTCTAGAGGCTGATGGAGGAGGTTCTAGAGGCTGATGGGGAGGTTCTAGAAGGTGATGGGGGAGGTTCTAGAGGCTGATGGAGGAGGTTCTAGAGGCTGATGGGGAGGTTCTAGAAGCTGATGGAGGAGGTTCTAGAGGCTGATGGGGAGGTTCTAGAAGGTGATGGGGGAGGTTCTAGAGGCTGATGGAGGAGGTTCTAGAGGCTGATGGGGAGGTTCTAGAAGGTGATGGGGGAGGTTCTAGAGGCTGATGGAGGAGGTTCTAGAGGCTGATGGAGGAGGTTCTAGAAGCTGATGGAGGAGGTTCTAGAGGCTGATGGAGGAGGTTCTAGAGGCTGATGGAGGAGGTTCTAGAGGCTGATGGAGGAGGTTCTAGAGGCTGATGGAGGAGGTTCTAGAGGCTGATGGGGGAGGTTCTAGAGGCGGATGGGGGAGGTTCTATAAGCTGATGGAGGAGGTTCTAGAGACTGATGGGGAGGTTCTAGAGGCTGATGGGGGAGGTTCTAGAGGCTGATGGGGGAGGTTCTGACGGCTGATGCAGGAGGTTCTAGAGGCTGATGGAGGAGGTTCTAGAGGCTGATGGAGGAGGTTCTAGAGGCTGATGGAGGAGGTTCTAGAGGCTGATGGAGGAGGTTCTAGAGGTTGATGGAGGAGGTTCTAGAGGCTGATGGGGGAGGTTCTAGAGGCTGATGGAGGAGGTTGTAGAGGCTGATGGAGGAGGTTCTAGAGGCTGATATAGGAGGTTCTAGAGGCTGATATAGGAGGTTCTAGAGGCTGATGGGGGAGGTTCTAGAGGCTGATGGAGGAGGTTCTAGAGGCTGATGGGGAGGTTCTAGAAGGTGATGGGGGAGGTTCTAGAGGCTGATGGAGGAGGCTCTAGAAGCTGAAGGAGGAGGTTCTAGAGGCTGATGGAGGAGGTTCTAGAGGCTGATGGGGAGGTTCTAGAAGCTGATGGAGGAGGTTCTAGAGGCTGATGGAGGAGGTTCTAGAGGCTGATGGAGGAGGTTCTAGAGGCTGATGGAGGAGGTTCTAGAGGCTGATGGGGGAGGTTCTAGAGGCGGATGGGGGAGGTTCTATAAGCTGATGGAGGAGGTTCTAGAGGCTGATGGAGGAGGTTCTAGAGACTGATGGGGAGGTTCTAGAGGCTGATGGGGAGGTTCTAGAGGCTGATGGGGGAGGTTCTAGAGGCTGATGGGGGAGGTTCTAGAGGCTGATGGGGGAGGTTCTGACGGCTGATGCAGGAGGTTCTAGAGGCTGATGGAGGAGGTTCTAGAGGCTGATGGGGGAGGTTCTAGAGGCTGATGGGGGAGGTTCTAGAGGCTGATGGAGGAGGTTCTAGAGGCTGATGGAGGAGGTTCTAGAGGCTGATGGGGGAGGTTCTAGAGGCTGATGGAGGAGGTTCTAGAGGCTGATGGGGGAGGTTCTAGAGGCTGATGGGGGAGGTTCTGACGGCTGATGCAGGAGGTTCTAGAGGCTGATGGAGGAGGTTCTAGAGGCTGTTGGGGGAGGTTCTGACGGCTGATGGAGGAGGTTCTAGAGGCTGATGGAGGAGGTTCTAGAGGCTGATGGGGGAGGTTCTAGAGGCTGATGGGGGAGGTTCTAGAGGCTGATGGAGGAGGTTCTAGAGGCTGATGGGGGAGGTTCTAGAGGCTGATGGGGGAGGTTCTAGAGGCTGATGGGGGAGGTTCTAGAGGCTGATGGAGGAGGTTCTAGAGGCTGATGGGGGAGGTTCTAGAGGCTGATGGAGGAGGTTCTAGAGGCTGATGGAGGAGGTTCTAGAGGCTGATGGAGGAGGTTCTAGAGGCTGATGCGGGAGGTTCTAGAGGCTGATGGGGGAGGTTCTAGAGGCTGATGCGGGAGGTTCTAGAGGCTGATGGGGGAGGTTCTAGAGGCTGATGCGGGAGGTTCTAGAGGCTGATGGGGGAGGTTCTTCGGTTCCAACCCTCACTCTAAGGCAGGGTTCTCTCCAGGTGGAGGGAAAAATTTTGTGGTGCGTTTTAAGCCAGCCGGTTCTGACCCGTTCCCTGTGTTCTGGTCCAGGATGTGGAGCAAACCGGGCCCTGTCTGCAGTACCTGCTGCAGCACAAACTTCTGGAGACCATGACCACCCTGGCGAAGGCTCAGGTAAGCTCACCTGCTGAACCCTCCTGGTTCTGATCTAGGTGCTCGGTGGGGCTCAGAATCCTGTGGTTCTGTTGGGAAGAAGGTGGATCGGACTCATGGATGTTCTGTCCTCCTTAGTATCCTCCAGGGATGACCCAGCAGGTCCTGATCTTTGTCACCAAGCTGCTGCTTCAGATGCAGAAGCCTCTTCTGCAGCTCGTCCCCGTCTACAGACCAGTACAGGTGAGCTACTGTCCAGCTGGGGACTGGTTCTGACCCAATCCTTTCAGCAGGCTGCTCCAGTTTAGCTACTGGGGAGGATCCAAAGGGCTGTAGGATCACGGTCATTGACTGATGATCTGGAGCAACAGTTACCACAGCAGGAACCCGACCTCTGCAGAAACATCTAGAACATTCTGACCCGGTTCTGGCCTGGTTCTGACCCGGTTCTGACCGGGTTCAGACCCAGGCCATGGTCCTAAGGCTCCATGTTTGTCCTCCTTCATCAGAAGCTGATTGAACTCTGTGCTCCTCCTGGTTCCGGTGCTGAGAAGGAGGAGGTCCGCTTCCTGTTTGCCGTCTGCAGCAGACTGAACCAGGATCCACATGTTCTCCAAAACGTTCTGCAGGTGAGCAGCTGAGGAACAGCTAAGAGCTTTTAGCTCCGCCTCCTGCTGATGATTTTTGTGCTTTCAGCTCCCAGACCAGCAGCTGTCCTCCAGTCAGAGCGCTGATGCAGCCAGCAGCCAATCAGAGCCCTCTGCATCAAGCCCCGTCCACTCCCAGCAGGGTCTGCTGTGGGTTCTGGTGCAGCTCAGCAGGAGTCCTGTGAGTTTCTTAGAGGCTGTCCCCATGTTCTCCTGCGGTGTCCTTACGTCCTCCTGCTGTGCTCCTGTCTCCTCAGCGGCCCCCGGTGCGTCTGAAGGCCTGTGAGGGCCTCCTGCTGCTGTCGGCCCTCCTGGATGGATCCTCAGAGGAGCTGCTTCCTGCTGGGGCCCAGCTGGGAGAGCTGCTGGCTGGGAGGCTGCAGGAGCTCTACTGCCTGCTGCCCCAGGAGCAGCTGGAGGCAGAGGAGCTGAGGAGCTGGCCCCGCCCCTCATGGAGGTCGGTGGTTACCATGGAGACTGGCTAGACAGCAGCAGACCTCATCTGACCTCTGTGTGTCCTTATAGGTCGGAGTCTCAACTGGATCACCTGACCTCTTTCCTCTCCTGGTTCCACTTCCTGGATCAGCTGACCACAGACGCTCCCCAGGTACTCAGCTCTACTACTGCAGAGATACTATAGTAGTACGACTACAGTAAACCTGCAGTAGTACTTCTGCAGGTTTACTCTACTTTTCACTTCACTTTATTTCTATAGCTCCAATTCACATCATGTCATCTCAGGTCACTTTCCAGTTCACCAGATCATCCAGTCAGATTGATTCAAAGTTTTCTATCTAAGGAAAACCAGCTGATTGCATCGACTCATTGACTCTTCAGCAATCCCTCACACTAAGCATGCTTGTAGCGACAGTGGAGAGGAAAAACTCCCTTTGAACAGGAAGAAACCTCCAGCAGAACCAGGCTCAGTGTGAGCGGCCATCTGCTGAGGCCCACTGGGGTTCAAGGAGACAGAAGCAGACATAGAAAAAGAAGCATAGATACAAAAGGCAACTGTCAACCAGCTCCACAGGCGGCCCCGTCCAGGAAACACACAGCCAGGCAGACGAGCTCCGAGCCAGCTCCCATGTCAGAGGATGAAGAGAGCACATCCAGTTAGTCACAGTCAGAGAAACAGGACTACACTGGAAAACAGGCCAAGCTCCAACATCTAGAAACAAAGGTGTTGATGGCAGCAGCACAGCTACTACCAGCAGAGGTGCCTGTTTTTCCAGTGTAGTCCTGTTTCTCTGACTGTGACTAACTGGATGTGCTCTCTTCTGAATAGAATTGAATTGAATGTAATCAGTGAGTCAGACTGACTGATCTCCCGCTGCAGCTGTGAGCTCAGACCTCTGGTTCTGATCCATCTGGTCTCCTGTCCAGGTTCTGTCTGTCCAGGTGTCCCAATGTGTCCGTGGCCTGTGGCTCATGGAGACTCTTCTTCCTCAGCTGCTGCACACGTACGCTTTCCTTCCTCCTCCTGTTGTTTTTCCTGTTGAGGGGGCGGAGCCTAACATGCAGTTGTATACGGTATCCAGGTGTGAGCAGAACATCCTGGTGTCCACCTCTGTCCTCTGCCATGTTGTCAGAATGGTCCAGTCCCCGTCTCTGCTGGAGCAGCTCCTCCACTTCCTGTTGAGGACGCCGTCCCTGATGGAGCAGCTGCTGCGTCGCTGCGACCACGTCTCTGAGCAGGTGAGGCTGAGGGCCACGCCCACAAAGCCAGGCACCTGAGATCTAGGCTCCGCTGAGTCTCTGTGTCCTCAGATCAGCATGACGTCTCTGTCTTTGGTGGAAGAGCTGCTACAGAAGCCTCACAGGGACATTCTGGACCACCTGGTGCTGAGCTTCCTGCAAAGCCGCAGTTACCTGTCGTCACCTGTAGGGGTCCCAGAGGAGCGGCAGCCTGACAGCGGCGAGGAGGGCGAGGACCCCCAGTAGGTGCATCACTGGGGCCCCCAGGCAGGGGAGGGGTGTACTCGGACTGACCGGCTGCTTCTGTCCCTCAGGGACCTGGACGACGACCCCTTCTTCTCAGACGGCTTCCCTGATGACCACCTTCCTCCTCCTCTTCATCAGCCTGCTGCTCCAGGATCGGCTGCAGACGTCGTAAACAGGTACCGACCCAAATGATCCCAGCAGAACCAGAACATGATGGCTGAGGAGCAGGTTCTGCTGGGTCAGCAGACCTCCTGGCTGGTTCTGGTCTCAGAGGTTCTGACAGAACTCTCTCTGCCTTCAGTTTCCTGTGTCTGGTTCCGGTCCAGGTGCGATCCGCCCACCTGCTGCAGGAAGGAGGCTATGAGTCCTACGTGCTGGATGCTCGCTCCTTGGTAACAGACCCAGCAGGTTGGGGGCGGTTGTCATGGTTACCCAAGGATCCATCAGATGAGCCAATGTCCTCATTGGGCTTCCGTAGCTCAGGGAGACGTCAGGTTGTCCTGAAACATCCTAGCATAAGATCAGAGAGTTTGTGGTTTTCTTTAAATCGTCTTAAGGAATAAAATCAGAATAGTTTGGTTTGGTAGGAAGGAATAATTTCTAACAGAAATGATTGAATGTTGATGTTTTATTTGTAATATCTATAATTATAGTGTTTGGCGTCAGATGGAAGCTAACATGGTTAATCACAGTTTGGCTCATAAAACGTTAAAGAAATAAAACTCTCTGTTCTCCTAATCTGTGTTCCTCTGTCTGACCTGGTGACCAGCTCCAGTCTCTCCCTGACTCGGACCCTCCATGGTCTCACCATATCATAGTTCTATACAGCGTCTGATACAAAAAGTGAAAGCCCTTTTGTCATTGTGACACAGCGCACACAAGTGAACACTGCACACCATGAAATTGCATTTATGCCTCACCCGTGCAAGGGGGCAGCCCTCAATGGCGCCCCAAGGGAGCAGTGTGGCAGGACGGTACCATGCTCAGGGTACCTCAGTCATGGAGGAGGATGGGGGAGAGCGCTGGTTAATTACTCCCCCCACCAACCTGGCGGGTCGGGAGTCGAACCGGTAACCTTTGGGATCCAAGTCTGACACCCTAACCGCTCACCCACGACTGCCTCCAAAAAGGTCTTATTGCTGATGTCCGGATGCCATTCCGTCGTGTCGGGGGTCCGGATGCCATTCCGTCGTGTCGGGCGTCCGGATGCCATTCCGTCGTGTCGGGCGTCCGGATGCCATTCCGTCGTGTCGGGGGTCCGGATGCCATTCCGTCGTGTCGGGCGTCCGGATGCCATTCCGTCGTGTCGGGGGTCCGGATGCCATTCCGTCGTGTCGGGCGTCCGGATGCCATTCCGTCGTGTCGGGGGTCCGGATGCCATTCCGTCGTGTCGGGGGTCCGGATGCCATTCCGTCGTGTCGGGGGTCCGGATGCCATTCCGTCGTGTCGGGCGTCCGGATGCCATTCCGTCGTGTCGGGCGTCCGGATGCCATTCCGTCGTGTCGGGGGTCCGGATGCCATTCCGTCGTGTCGGGGGTCCGGATGCCATTCCGTCGTGTCGGGCGTCCGGATGCCATTCCGTCGTGTCGGGGGTCCGGATGCCATTCCGTCGTGTCGGGCGTCCGGATGCCATTCCGTCGTGTCGGGGGTCCGGATGCCATTCCGTCGTGTCGGGCGTCCGGATGCCATTCCGTCGTGTCGGGGGTCCGGATGCCATTCCGTCGTGTCGGGCGTCCGGATGCCATTCCGTCGTGTCGGGGGTCCGGATGCCATTCCGTCGTGTCGGGCGTCCGGATGCCATTCCGTCTTGTCGGGCGTCCGGATGCCATTCCGTCGTGTCGGGGGTCCGGATGCCATTCCGTCGTGTCGGGCGTCCGGATGCCATTCCGTCGTGTCGGGGGTCCGGATGCCATTCCGTCGTGTCGGGGGTCCGGATGCCATTCCGTCGTGTCGGGGGTCCGGATGCCATTCCGTCGTGTCGGGCGTCCGGATGCCATTCCGTCGTGTCGGGGGTCCGGATGCCATTCCGTCGTGTCGGGCGTCCGGATGCCATTCCGTCGTGTCGGGGGTCCGGATGCCATTCCGTCGTGTCGGGCGTCCGGATGCCATTCCGTCGTGTCGGGCGTCCGGATGCCATTCCGTCGTGTCGGGGGTCCGGATGCCATTCCGTCGTGTCGGGGGTCCGGATGCCATTCCGTCGTGTCGGGGGTCCGGATGCCATTCCGTCGTGTCGGGCGTCCGGATGCCATTCCGTCGTGTCGGGGGTCCGGATGCCATTCCGTCGTGTCGGGGGTCCGGATGCCATTCCGTCGTGTCGGGCGTCCGGATGCCATTCCGTCGTGTCGGGGGTCCGGATGCCATTCCGTCGTGTCGGGGGTCCGGATGCCATTCCGTCGTGTCGGGGGTCCGGATGCCATTCCGTCGTGTCGGGCGTCCGGATGCCATTCCGTCGTGTCGGGCGTCCGGATGCCATTCCGTCGTGTCGGGGGTCCGGATGCCATTCCGTCGTGTCGGGCGTCCGGATGCCATTCCGTCGTGTCGGGGGTCCGGATGCCATTCCGTCGTGTCGGGCGTCCGGATGCCATTCCGTCTTGTCGGGCGTCCGGATGCCATTCCGTCGTGTCGGGGGTCCGGATGCCATTCCGTCGTGTCGGGCGTCCGGATGCCATTCCGTCGTGTCGGGGGTCCGGATGCCATTCCGTCGTGTCGGGCGTCCGGATGCCATTCCGTCGTGTCGGGCGTCCGGATGCCATTCCGTCGTGTCGGGCGTCCGGATGCCATTCCGTCGTGTCGGGGGTCCGGATGCCATTCCGTCGTGTCGGGCGTCCGGATGCCATTCCGTCTTGTCGGGCGTCCGGATGCCATTCCGTCGTGTCGGGGGTCCGGATGCCATTCCGTCGTGTCGGGGGTCCGGATGCCATTCTATGCGACTGATGACCTCTAATAACGACCATTTATCGGGATGATAACATCCATTACAGCTGCAAACAGCCAGTTAGTATTTAATGTTTAAAGAGAAAGGATCAAACTGAGGAGGAACCCATGAGATGGTGAACAGGTTCTATATATTAGAACAACCTTTTTATTCTTCATCTTCACCCGCTGACAAATGATTTCACCTAAATAGATACATTGATCTACTACCATTCAAAAAATAAACCCCTAATATTATTGTGGTCATAACAGGCTATGGCAAGCCGTTTTGATATTTATAATTTTTACTGAATATGTATTCCTGATGTCTGAAAAAAAAAGACCATTTCAAACAAAATAGCATTCTTCACATCTAGAATAAACATTCTAGATGTCTAGAAATTAATTTCAGATCTCCATATTCCTAATATACTTGTCAGCATTTGTATATTTTGAATATGAAGAAATATATTTCAGATTTCATCAATACATTTTCAGTCCAGCTGATAAATGTCAGAAAGGCCACTTAAAATGTGTAAATATTAGATATATAAAACTTAATTGTTACTAATAAAATTTTGTTTTTGCTTTTAATAAATGTAGAAACGGCTTGCCATAGACACTTCATATAAACTTACACATTAACTTGAGCAACAATCTTCTCCTCCGTCGTCTCCTTTTCATGTTTCTGTCTTTTTAAACACATTTTCCTTTTTTATTTCTTCATTAAATCTCTAGTTCCAGTGGGCTGAAATAGGCACTTCTTGTTGCCCGTTGTCATGGTGACTCGTCAAATCGGTGCTCCTCTGTTAATGGCTTTTTATACTTCTTATGCACATACTTTTTATAGCCAGATTAACTTAGAGTTCCAGAGTTGAATCTGAGTTTGTTAAACCTGCTTTGTGAAACGTCCCCCTGTTAACATCATGGTAAATGTCCTGTACTTATATAGAGCTGCGTAGATGTGGACCAAGCTCCGCCCCTTTAGGTCTATCTCTGATTGGATCAACCTTAATAGTAAAGCTTCTCTTCCCATCAGGTGGCCCAGTGCCGGTCTCTCTCTCTCTCCTGGGACTGGCCAAAAACTCTACCCCCTCCTACCTGCTCTCCAGGTAAAGAAGGGGACTTCTTCGAAGGTCACCTGCTGAAGGTTCTGTTTGAACGTCTGGGACGCATCTTACAACAGGTAGGCAAGAGCTGAGGTCACACCTGTCCCTATAGCTGATCATCTACTTCTAGTCAGACTCGCCTGTGTCCACCTGTTCCCTGACCCGCCTGTCTCCACTTGTCACCTGACTCATCTGAGTCCACCTGCTTACCTGTTCCCTGACTCGCCTGTGTCCACCTGTTCCCTGACTTGCGTGTCAACCTGTCCGCCTGTTTCCTGAGTCACCTGTATCCACCCGTCACCTGACTCTGTGTGTTCACCTGTTTTCGGTCCCTGACTCCCTTGTCTTTAAGGGTACATCTAGGTTCTGGGGCCCCGCTTCTCCCAGCATCCGTCCCATGTAGATGGGGTCTTGTGGAACAGCCTGTGACTTTGGACAGTCTAGGTATTGCCTGCTGCCCTGCCCTGACCTGCCCAGCAACTGTTAAAGCTGATGCTAAAGATATAAAGATGTAAAAGTGGAGGAAAGGTGCTAAAGATCAGGGGGCCATATAGGGTTTAAATGTAAGGACCACTCTAAGGGCCCATGACTACAATGGGCCCCAAAATATAAGAACAGGATTGTTATTTATATAAAAACCAGAACCCACCTGTATCTGTGTGGAACGGTTTGTTTCTGCCTTTCTGGAACTGGCAGCTTTAGGCAACGGTTGCCCGTCAGCTGAAGTTGAGACCAACAATAAAGAAAGACCAAAGAAAGGAGGCCCGCCCAGTTCGTCTCCACTGAGGAAGGTCGTTGTCTGATTAGCATTAAGTTAAGGTACGCTAGCTTTGGTATTTAAACATGGAAGGTGACAGATGAGTCACAGAGAGCAGATTAAATTCATCACTGCTCCTCCTCGACCAATCAGCTATGAGCTGCAATGAATCATGGGAACAGTTGGCCGTCCCCATCCTTCAGATGGGGGACATCAGGAGAACAGCCTGCATCTTGTACCAATGCATTCCCTGAATTCCTGAAACCCTGCTGAGGTGTCCTTTTTGTTCACAGCCATACGAGTTGAGCCTCCAGCTGACTGCCATCTTGTCCCGTCTCTCCTCCTTTGACCACCCTCTGTTGGACGAATACCTGCTGGACCCGTACGTCCCCCTGTCCCCAAGCAGCAAATCGCTGTTCTCTGTCCTGGTCAGGGTAAGGCGGGCCGTTACACCCAGAACAATCAGAGCTGCTTTGCGTTCCGCTCACGTCCTGTCTCTCTGTGTGACGTGTCTCAGGTGATGGGGGAGCTGGTGCAGCGGACCCAGCAGGTCTCCAACATCTCAGAGCGTCTGATGGACACCAGGAGACACCTACTGGGCCTGAACCAAAACCCCAGGTAGCTCCATGTTTGTTGTAGATGTTGTTGTTGTTGCATATCTAGAGAGACCAAGCAGAACCAGAGGAGGGCTTGACCTAAACCAGAGCAGAGAGAACCTCAGGAGAGCGTTTCTCCACCAGTTCTGGAGGACTGTGTTCTGGTACCAAAGAGACATAAGCTTCAGTCCTCATTGACCTTAGACCTGTTAGCCTGATACCCAGCATCACGAAGGAGAACCCCCATGGACCACAGAGTCCTCCAGAGACTCCTGTCAATCCGAGTCCTTCAGAGACTCCTGTTGGTCCTTCAGAGACTCCTGTTGGTCCTTCAGAGACTCCTGTTGGTCCTTCAGAGACTCCTGTCAATCCACAGAGTCCTTCATAGACTCCTGTTGGTCCTTCAGAGACTCCTGTTGGTCCTTCGGAGACTCCTGTTGGTCCACCGAGTCCTTCAGAGACTCCTGTCGGTCCACCGAGTCCTTCATAGACTCCTGTTGGTCCTTCAGAGACTCCTGTCGGTCCACCGAGACCTTCAGAGACTCCTGTCGGTCCACCGTGTCCTTCATAGACTCCTGTCGGTCCACCGAGTCCTTCAGAGACTCCTGCCGGTCCACCGAGTCCTTCAGAGACTCCTGTCGGTCCACCGCGTCCTTCAGAGACTCCTGTTTATCCTCCTGAGACTCCTGTTGGTCCACCGAGTCCTTCAGAGACTCCTGTTGGTCCTTCAGAGACTCCTGTTGGTCCTTCAGAGACTCCTGTCAATCCACAGAGTCCTTCATAGACTCCTGTTGGTCCTTCAGAGACTCCTGTTGGTCCTTCGGAGACTCCTGTTGGTCCACCGAGTCCTTCAGAGACTCCTGTCGGTCCACCGAGTCCTTCATAGACTCCTGTTGGTCCTTCAGAGACTCCTGTCGGTCCACCGAGACCTTCAGAGACTCCTGTCGGTCCACCGTGTCCTTCATAGACTCCTGTCGGTCCACCGAGTCCTTCAGAGACTCCTGCCGGTCCACCGAGTCCTTCAGAGACTCCTGTCGGTCCACCGCGTCCTTCAGAGACTCCTGTTTATCCTCCTGAGACTCCTGTTGGTCCTTCAGAGACTCCTGTTGGTCCTTCAGAGACTCCTGTTGGTCCTTCAGAGACTCCTGTTTGTCCTCCAGAGAGTCCTGTCAGTCCACCGAGTCCTTCAGAGACTCTCGTTTATCCTCCTGAGACTCCTGTTGGTCCACCGAGTCCTTCAGAGACTCCTGTTTGTCCTTGAGAATCTCTTGTTGGTGCTTCAGAGACTCCTGTTGGTCCTTCAGAGACTCCTGTTGGTCCTCCAGAGAGTCCTGTCAGTCCAGAGAGTCCTGTCAGTCCACCGAGTCCTTCAGAGACTCCTGTTGGTCCTTCAGAGACTCCTGTTGGTCCACCGAGTCCTTCAGAGACTCCATCTCACAGGTTCATGAACAAACAACCGAGTTCTTCTGACCACAGGAGGAGGTTCACCTGGGTTCTACCAGGTTGTCAGGAACTCTCTACTTTTCACTCAGGCTTCCAGTTCCAGACTGAGAACCTCCAGAACCTCCACGGTCCTGTTCTCTTCTGATCAAAGATCTCCAGTCTGTAGAGGTGGACCTCCATGTCCTGGCAGGTCCATCCTCCCTCCAGGTTCAGATGGAGATGATGGGAGATGTTCCAGAACCCAACCCTGCTTGAACTGAACCAGAACCGCAGCTGTACTCTGGTTTCTGCTTAGGAGTCTCCTGATGAGATCTGGGTTCATTTCTGGGCCCAGCTGAAGGTTCAGGTGTTCATCTGTAGAACTTTGTTAGTTTGGACCGAGACAGAAGCTACCAGCGGCATGAAAAGGTTCTGCTGAGGTTTCATAGGAATTTGGAGCAGAGCCTGTTCCTCAGGAACCATGAGAACCTAAGAGCAGTCTGCTATACATCAGACCCAGACCCAGGAAAGTTCTGCTGGCTTGTTTCTGATCAGCTGACTGATGATGTCACTCACCTGCCTTCTCTGTGGGCGTGTCCTCAGCCTAGAACACCTGACGCTGCTCCAGGGGATCATCGTTCTGGAGGAGTTCTGCAAGGAGCTGGCCGCCATCGCCTTCATCAAGATGCCTCTGGACCGGAACCAGCAGAACCTCAGCACAGAGGACGAGTCTGCACCCGGATCCACCGGACTGCTGGAGCAGAACCGACCCGTCCGGACCGGAACAGACTGAGCATCTGGACCAGAAATGACCCATCCGCACTGGAACCGGACCGGGAGAAACTGAGCACCTGGACTGGAACCGACTGAGCGTCTGGACCAAGACCGACCCGTCCGGACTGGAACAGACTGAAGTTCTGGACCAGAACCGACCCATCCGGACTGGTAAAAACTGAGCATCTGGACCAGGACCGACCCGTCCGGACTGGAACCAACCCATCCGAACTGGAATAGACTGAGCATCTGGACTTGACCCGCCTAAATCGGTGATGATGATTAGACCTGCTGGGAAGTCCCGCCCACTCCAACCAGAGCCAATCACTGAACACTCAAAGTGCTTCCAGAAGCTGATGTGTGGTCCTGATCCGGGGTGCTGCAGCACAGAACCGCTCAGAACCAGTCGTAGCAGGTTCCTCTGATCCTTTGAAGCTTCACTGAGTGCTTTTGATATGTTTTTCTGCCAAAGATCAAAGAGCAGAGGGAAGCTGCTGATTGGCTGCTGCTCCATCAGGTCCTACTCCTGACTGGATCCGAATCAGCAGAACGGTTCTGACTGCTGGTTCTGGTCCAGCTGAAATGCTCTGTATTAATATCAGAGGTTCCATTATTTTATCCTGAGAGGATTAATAGTTTCCTCTAATCCAGTCAAACAGCTTCTAGAGGGAATCTGCCAACTTGTGATCTCAGGCCTGGATGGAGAGATGCTGAGTTTGGAGGTAGAGAACAAACCAATGTTGATGATCCTCATTATCCTCTATTACAAACATAGGCGGATCTACTGGGGTGGCATAGGGTGGCAACTGCCACCCTAAATGACAGCCTTGCCACCCCTGCTGCCACCCCAGTTGGCGGTAGGGGTGGCGAGGCTTATAAATTATGGATCATTTGAGAATTACGACCGCTAATTTCTAATGTCGGACTGCAGTGAATGCAGCACGAGATGACAGAGAGCGACTGAGACTGATTGTTTTGAAAACCGAATGGGGCAAAGCGAGGGAGCCTGGGGTGATGGGGAGAGGAGACACAGGATGAAACAGGTAAAAACTGATTAACTATCGAGAAATGAAATCATAATGAAAGCACCATGTTGCTAGCATAGCTGCAATGCTGATTTACAGATGATAAAAATCAGGTTGCAGAACGTTATTTCTCTATCTATGATGTTAGTTAGGCCTGACGTCTCAGCCTCATAAAGACATATTTGCGGTCAACTATGACAGAAAAGAGACGATCAAGTTTGGTTGAACTCAAATCAAAACGCACAAAGGGATTGGATCTAAATACATTTGTGAAGCGTTTTGCTGAGCAACATGGAAATCGCTGCATTCAGCTGTTATAGTCATGTTAACTTTATGTTCTGCTCTCTGGTGAGCCTTTACAGAGCTGCTACATTTTGTTTTGGCACCTGAGAAAATCTGATATTTCCTTTAATAAAACCAAAAGTGTTAAAAGTTAAAAATGTGATACTGGTGTAAATCCTGCTTAATATGAAGCAGTGTTGTTGTTTCTTTTTTTGTATATATAATATGAAACTATCCAGAAATGACCCGTATGAACCTACTCACAAGCAAAATGTGTTTTTATGTTGCTTCTTTTCAGATTTGTGGAGATTTTTATGTAACATACAGAACCCGCCTTTTTGTTGATTTGTTGATACAGCAGTATGGAGGACCAACTCTGCCATATTTAAAAATAAATACAGAAATAAATAAATGCTCAATAAATAAATAAGCATACAATTAATTGCCACCAAAAATACGAACAACAAATAAATGTAAGTAGAAATTAAATTATACAGCTAGTCATAAAGGTATATAACTCTTTTAATTGGCTTCTTTATTTCTTTGCCTTTTTAATATTTACCTTATTTATTTTTTTGTCATTTATTATCTTCAACTTCATTTTTTAATTACTTATATTTTTAAGTACTTATTTATGTGCGGGTTATCATATTTTTGTCTGTTTTATTCTTCCTTTGTATTTTTTTACCCTAGTTATTTCTTCGCCGCTATTTCTTTCTGCCTGCCCTTTTAACATTTCTGCCTGCCATTATAATATCATTTCTAATTACATTTATTTGTTGATTGTATTTTTGGTGGCAATTAATTGTATGCTTATTTATTTATTGAGCATTTATTTATTTCTGTATTTATTTTTAAATATGGCAGAGTTGGTCCTCCATATGCAGCTCTATCTACATCATATTTACATGCATGAAATGTCCCTTTCATGTTGCCTTAACTGCTGTATGTCACGTTACTGAGGAACAAATGGGGTAAATGTGTGTTCAGAGTAAACATTACATAGATGTCTGGTACCTTGTTTGGTGCCTTGACCCATTTATTTCTACTGTGTAGTTCTGCTCACTTTGTTCCAGCTCAGTCCATAGATCTATGATGGGAAACTTTTTCTTTCTATAGTTTCTTCTTGTGCAAATGCTGCAAAGCTGCCTCTCTGACAGTCAATCTCACACATCTGCGACTCAGAACCTGTGTCTTACCTTAATACCTTTCCTGTCATAAGGCCCCTCTAGAAGTAGTGTCATCATTCTTCTATCTCCTATTAAGTGAGATCTCATTGTACGATGTATTATTAATATGAACTGCTTCACATGAAACACTAGTAATGTACATACCATTCTCACCAAACTGTGATAACTGTGATTAAATTCAGTGTAAACAAATGCCATATGTTGCCACCCCTAAAAAATTCCTGCCCCCCTCTTGCCACCCCATAAATATTTTTCTAGATCCGCCCCTGATTACAAACATCCACAACCAGAAGGAAAGCTTTGGGGGGAAACGGGTGATTGATGCTGATGGAGAGTTGGAATGATGTCACATTAAATTAAGCCTTCATTACCGCAGCTTTTTATCCTATCTATTAATAATAATAATAATAATAATAAAGCGCAGCTCTCCTCCAGCTCAGAGGAAGTCAGAGCGGAGCAGGATGGGAGGAACAGAGGAGGATGAAGGCGCTGCTTTGACCAGGAGGTCTGGGGGCGGGGCAAATATGGAGGATGAGGGATGTTGGGGTCAGTCATCCCATGTGGAGTACTTTCTTGTGATTGGCTCATATAAAGGAGCTCTGTGTTTGGTTGCAAAGCATCCCCTGTTTAATAAAATGCATTAATGTATCGAGGCACGTCAGGAGAGTCTGAAAATCCACACAGAAATGCAGTGAAGTTTAAAGAAGTTAATTTATAATTGTTTATGGAGCAGAAATACTTCTGTGGATCCTGTGCTGTCTGAGGGGATCTTTAAAGTGTATTTGTGAAAACTAAGACTGATGTAGCTCCATAGCTGAGCAGCAGGGGGAGCTGTAGCAGGCTTCCTGTCCTGAGCTGTCACTGTCATGTCGATGCCAGGATCCCACGGTGATCTCAGCGCGCTGCTGGACGGACCGAAGATCGGAGCAAACCAGCTTCTAACATCCAGAAAGAAACTCAATCCATGGGAAAAGGATCCAGTTAGATCCTCTTACTGGACGAGTTCCTGGATCCAGATTCTAGGTTCTGTTTGTCTCTGTTCTCCCAGCTCCTCATCATCATCACAGCAGCTCATCACTGACCCGGTTCTACTGCGGCAGCCGGGATTTAAACCCGCTTCCCTGCATTACAGTCAAACAGCAGAACGTGTTCCCCACCAGGACAGCATGTCTGTGAATAAAGATAACTGATCTGACTCTTCTGATTCTACGTTCATCTTTTCCCTAAGAACCCAGTCTGTGCTTTTCTGTGTTCCTGCTGCTGGAGTCCCTTTGCTTCTCTTTACACCTGAACAGAACCAGAACAGATAAAACTGCTTAAAGGAACCTTAGCCACGTTTAAAGGAACCAAAAGCTGATTAAAGGAAACTTAGCCACGTTTAAAGGAACCTTAGCCGCGTTTAAAGGAACCATAGCCATGTTTAAAGGAACCTTAGACATCTTTAAAAGAACCTTAGCTGTGTTTAAAGGAACCTTAGCTGTTCAAAGGAATCTTAGCCATGTTTAAAGGAACAAAAAGCTGAATAAAGGAACCTCAGCCGTGTTTAAAGGAACCTTAGCCGTGTTTAAAGGAACCAAAAGCTGATTAAAGGAACCTTAGCCATGTTTAAAGGAACATAAAGCTGATTAAAGGAACCTTAGCCGTGTTTAAAGGAACCTTAGCCATGTTTAAAGGAACCTTAGCCGTGTTTAAAGGAACCTTAGCCGTGTTTAAAGGAACATAAAGCTGATTAAAGGAACCTTAGCCGTGTTTAAAGGAACCTTAGCCGTGTTTAAAGGAACATAAAGCTGATTAAAGGAACCTTAGCCGTGTTTAAAGGAACCTTAGCCATGTTTAAAGGAACCTTAGCCGTGTTTAAAGGAACATAAAGCTGATTAAAGGAACCTTAGCCGTGTTTAAAGGAAC